GCCTGGTTGGCGGGGGCGCGGGGCGGGGGCCTGCTGGGCCTGCTGGCCAATCAGTGCCGCTTCGTCACGGGCCTGCGCGTGCGACGCGCGCAGCAGATCGCGCAGCTCTACGGCCGCCTGTACTCCGAGAGCTCGCGCCGCGTCCTCCTCGGCCGCCTCTGGCGCCGTCTGCGCGGCCGTCCTGGCGATGCCTCTGCCTTGATGGCGGCGCTCGCCGGTGTCTTCGTGTGGGACGAGGAGAGGATCCAGGAGGAGGAGTTGCAGAGGTGAGTCTTGCGGCGAGGTCGGTCCCTGTTGCGTAGGTGGGAGGACAGCCAGGCCGACAGGCTGGGACGTGTGGTCCTGCGCCCCGCCCGGTGGTCAGTGACCCTCTTGGTTGCGAGGCCGAGATTGCACCTGTTTTAGCAGACCGCGTCGTCTATTGCCCCTATGTGTTTAATTGATTTGTCGGGTTGGAACCAAAACCTGGAAGTGTAGGTTAGTGTAGGAGGAAGACTTAAAATGGAGAGCATGACACTAAAAAAAACGATATTGTAAAAAATAAATTATGTACTAGGCATGGAGGCCACTATTCCCGCAGTCTTTAACACACCCAGAAAGGAGCAAATCCAAAACAGGCTTTAAACTTGACCTAAGGGTGTATGTAGTTCTGCAGTTGACAAGATGACTTATGTCCAAATGGAATTCAGGCCTAGTGAGAAATGCCAGGAGAGCTGACTGTCATTGTGACTCAAGAGGTGGCGGAATCCAGAAGCTGCAAGGGATTTTGTCCTCTGCCCACACATTTTTTATTTTTTATTTTTTTTGAGAGGTTTTGCTATAGGGCGTGAATGCTCGCCAGAAAGACAGAGAGGGACGGAAAGCGAGAAATCACCCCCCCAGGGGGGATGGCCATGCTGCAACTTCTCCTCCATTCTCCTCTTGGGATCCTGGGCCCGCTGGCACACGTGCCCAGCGTGAGGTTAAGCCACTGGGTCTGGGACTCGAACCGCGGTCTACTACGTGGGAATCCAGCAACATAGCCATTACATCAACAACTGGCCCAAGCCCACACAATCTAACCTATAAGAATTGGGTCATATTTTTTGTTACTTTAACTAGAACTTTGGGATTACTGTGTCGTTACACTCTGATGTCAGGATGTCATCATCAAAATTTATTTGTGAATAACCCAGTACCATTTATTGAATTTGCTAATCTGTAGTTTTATATCTGAGATGTTACAGTTTTTGGGTAGTCTTATGGGGGTAGTCTTATGAGGAAACTTCGCTTTCCCTTGTCTCCTGCTATTATTTTTTAAACAAATACTCTTTTTTTTTTTAATTGCCAGAGGCTCACCAGATAGAGACAGACAGACAGAGGGAGAAAGCACCCTCAGTGGAGGGTGATCATGCTGCATTCCCTTCTCCATTTTTCCATCCTGTTGGGATTTGGGGCATGCATGCATATGTGTTCAGCGTGTTTTTCAACCTGTAGAAACTGGGATTTGAGCCCTTAGCAATCAACCATGTGGGATTCAGCTCCCTTAAACACTAGGCTATGAGGCTGAACCTGAACAGATGTTCTTTTTCTTTTTTTTTTTTTTTTTAAGAGAGAGTTTTGCTGTAGGGCACATGCATTCTATGGAGAGACAGAGAAACAAGAGAGAGAAAATGAGAAATCCCCCCTCCCCCACCCGGGGCGGGGGATGGCCACTTGCAATCCATTCTCCTCTTGGATTTTGGTCATGCATGCACACATGCCTGGCATAAGTTTCAAGCCTCTGGGTCCAGGATTCGAAATTTTTTTGTGTTTGACCATGAGAGAGTCTAGCACCTTAACCACCATGCCACCTGCTGACCCCTGAACAGATGTCCTTAAACTGTGCCTTTCCTCCATACAAGCACTCGGCCTGTAACTCTAACACTGATTTCAGGACCCAGGGATCATCCTCTCCCCTCCATAGATCCCATGAGTCTGTTTATTCTAGATATTTCTTTGACGGGATTAATCTGGGTTTTTTAAAATTATTATTTATTTATTTTATTTTATTTTATTCATTTATTTATTTATCTATTTTTATTTATTTATTTATTTATTTATTTATTTTTAGTTTGACCAGAGAGAGACAGAGGGTAACAGTGAGAAAGAGAGGAAGTGAGAAAGTAAGCCACCAGATTCAGGACTTGAACCCTGGTCGGCCATGTGGGAGTGTCTAGCTCCTTAACCACCTCACCACCTGCTGGTCCCAAGGGGATTAATCTGTTATTCCACAGTTTTGGCTATGTTAAAAATGGGAATATGCCAGTAAAGCTTATCCCGTGGACTGTTTGGGAGGCGTAACACCTGATACCAGGCTATTTGTGCAGCACTATGACTTGTGGGTAAATGAGTCTATCTTAAGAACTGAGAATACTTTTCTTAGCAGGAAAGATGATTTTTATATGTGCAATTTAAAGTCATAACCACAACCAACCTTATACACAATAAAGTATCAAAGCATGGTAGGAATTTTGCATAGTTCCTATTAGCATTCTTTTGCCACTTGGCCATTTATTGTGAGAAATGAAAGAATGGGGGACTAGCAGTTAGAGTAATGGCTATGTCGCTGGACTCCCATGTAGTCGACTGCGGTTCGAGTCCCAGACTCCGTGGCTTAAACTTAAGCCGGATGCGTGTGTGTGCCCAAGATCCCGAGAAGAGAATGGAGAAGGGATTGCAGCATGACCATCCCCCCTGGGGGGTGATTTCTCGCTTTCTGTCTCTCTGTCTCTCTCTGTCTTTCTGGTGAGCACATATACCCTACAGCAAAAACCTCTCCAAAAAAAGGAAAAAAAAAAGAAAGAAAAGAAAAAAAAAAAATAAAAAGAATGGGAAGAAAGCTTTTACATTGGGAAGTTATCAGTTAAATGTTTGAGTTGTTTTTTTAAAGAATTATTTTATTTATCTTTATTTATTTATTCATTTACTTATGTTAATTTGACCAGAGAGGAACAGAGAAAGAGAGAGAAAGTGAGAAGGCAAGCCATCAGCTGGGTCTGGGACTCAAACTGCAGTTGGCTATGTGGGATTCCAGCACCCTTAACCACCACTCCACCTGCTGGCCCTAAATGTTTGAATTTTAATGTTTTTAAAAGAATTATTTTTTTAATTATTTAATTTTTTATTTATTCATTTATTTATTTTAATTTGACCAGAGAGAGAGACACAGACAGAGGGAGAGAGGTAAAGTGAGAAAGCAAACCACCAGGTCCAGGACTTGAACCATGGTCAGCCATGTGGGAGAGTTCAGCACCTTAACTACCACATCATCTGCTGGTCCCTGAATTTGGTATTTCATACACTTGAAATTTGATCAAGTTGTCCATCTTGATCTTTTTAAATATTTGTTACCTTAGTAGTGAAGCAAATAGTGTTATTTCGTAGCTGCATCTAGGTTGTGTAGTGGTCTTTGTTTTGATAGCTTGTCATGTTTATACACGTTTTAATTTATTTATGAGAGAGAGAGGACTGAGGGAGAGGTTGGTTGATTTTTGACAGGGTCTCACCACGCCTAGGAATCCTCCTCAAGCCGCTCTGCTAGCTAGGACTACCTGCCCAATCTGTTTAGGTGGGCCTGGGACCCAAACTTGGGCCTCCCAAGTGCCCTCAGCCTCCTTGGCATCGTGCACCATCATGGTCGAGCCCATCTGATTTGTATTTGGGTACAGGATAAGTTTTTTGCTCGGTGTTTTAGTATTGTTTGTTTTAGAGCAAGCACTGCTGGGATTATCATGCCTAGTTTAGAACTCTTGGATTTTGGGTAGCTTCCAGAATGCGGGGCAGTTTGAGTGTCTCAGGTCAAGTGCATTTCTTCTGTCGTTAATGGGGTAGGAGCATGATTGTCCCAGAGCTCGAGTCACAGACTTCTCGGCTCATCTGTGCTGTCTGTACCAGCTTGTCCTGGCACACAGTAATCCTGAGATGGTCGTAGTTGTTAAACAGGGGTAATGTGTGCAGGGTGTCTTTTTGAATACGTGCTTAAAGTGGCATGTGCTTTTCTTAAGTTGTATGAGCTTTTTTTTTTCAGAATGAAAAAAAAAATGTAAGATGTACTTTGGAACATCTTACCAAATAGGATTTTTTAAATAGATTTAAAAATACATGACCAGCAGGTGGTAAAGCAGTTATGTTGCTGGACTCCCCAGTGGCTGACTGTGGTCCAAGTCCTGGACCTGGTGGCTTGAAAATCACGCTTGTGTGCATGCCCAAGGTCCTGGGAGGAGAATGGAGAAGAGATTGTGGTGCGACCATCCCTGCTAGGGGGTGATTTCTCATTTTTCCTCTCGCTATGTCAGTTTCTTTCTTGAGGGCATGTGCCCTAAGGATGAAACCTCTTAATTTTTTTAAATAGTTTTATTTCTTAGTTTTACTATAACATGTATGTGCTCACCAGAGACAGAGAGGGAAAGTGAGAAATCACCTCAGGGAGGATGGCCGTGCCACAGTCCCTTCTCCACTGTCCTTGTGGATTTTGGGAACACATGCACAGGTGCGTAGAGTGGTCTGGACTCAATGGCCATGTGGGACCCAGCTCCCTTAACAACCATGCCTAGTAGGGGAACTAGTGTAGTGGCTATGTCGCTGGATTCCCATGTAGTTGACCGCGGTTTGCGTCCCGAACCCGGTGGCTTAAAACTCATGCTGGGAGCGTGTGCGTGCATGCCCAAGATCCCGAGAGGAGAATGGAGGAGAAGGGATTGCGGCGTGCCCATCCCCCCTGGGGGGTGATTTCTTGCTTTCTGTCTCTATGTCTCTATCTGTCTGGCGAGTGCACGCGCCCTATAGCCAAAAAAACCTCTCCAAAAAAAAAAAAAACCAACCATGCCTAGCTCTTCCCCAAGTAGGTCTTACTAACCAAGCAACAATAAGAAAAGAAGTAACTTGTACGTGGTGGATTTGACTCAGGACTGGGGCCAAATGTAGAAATCAGATCTTGTAACATTTGCTCTAGTTAGTGTTCATAGTTCGTTTCAGTTAGGCAGTCAAACAAAATAATTTTCAGTTACTGTTTTTTGGTGCTAGAGGGCGTTGTGCCTAGGGCAGATTTTATGGAAAAATACAGTATAAGTTTTTATTGCTTTGGAACAGTAAAAATAAATATATACAGGAACAAAAAGAGGAAGGATATTAAGAAATATGAAAGGCTGGAGGAAAATGGCCCATTAATGACCTTGTCTTTTTTTATTTTTTTAAGCTACAGTTCATTGCTCTAGAAATTTGAGTAAATAAGTGCGAGTGCAGTTTC